ACGTTCGTTCTTCTGTAACTACAAAAATAACCAATAGAACGAAAAAAAAAGAAAGGAAAGAAAGAATGTGAAATGGAGACGAAATGAATTATTCAGAAAATATATTAGAGAATATACAAACATTTCGACTAATTCTTGCGGACAAGAACGAGAAGAATAAGAATGTTGTGTTGCTATGCTTCGTGAAGACATAAAATTGAACTTGTTATATAGTTAGTTCGAATTTTTGTTAATAATTATATTATATGAAAGTTAATTAATATTCATTCTCTTCTTCGTCTTTTAACGATTTAACGAAAAAAATATGTTGCTTTTTTGACGGTGACAACACGTTATGAAGTTGTTTTAAACGAAGTCTCACAGATGATTTCTGGTTAAACGGCTTCTAACAGAAGAACATATGTCGAAGTGCGTTGAATACAACATTTTAGCGCGTTTTCAATGTCAAAAAGGTAACATTATTTTTCGTCAAATCGTTATATTTTTATTGTTAGTAAGCTCATTATGTTGAAATTCCATTCGACAATGTGACCATTGGTGACTAGCGAAAGCAATTTTCAACATCTAACAGTATTGATGAATGATTTCGAACAAAGTGATTGTAACTTAGCTAACCATCTCAGTACTATCATTCAATACTATTTCATTTCCGAGCGTGTATTTCTTACTGAGAAGCTCGAAAAGAATCGCCAAATAGCCCTGTAAATCACTAATCAAAAGTTGTGTTCGAATCTTATTTTGTCTCTTGAGTAACAAACTTGTTTTAATTGATGGTCGAAACAATAATGTCATTTTTGTTCATTATCTTCTATCATGAACAATCAGATGACAATAGTCCAGACTAATGATTTATTTATGTCATTTTATTCAAATTCAAGTAAGATTTCGACATTGCATAAAATATTGTGTATCTCAATAATTGAAAAACTTTTATTTGGGATTTAAAGAAATGCAAGTTTCAAAAAAGGAAAGTCTTTTAATCAATGGTCATTTTAATAGATGATCGTCGAAATGATTCAATTTGAACCATCGGATAAGCAGTACCTCTTATAATTTGTCGTCCAGTGAGTGTTGGTGCTGTAAGCAATATGTTCGTTGGAGCTATTTGATTAGGTCCAAGATTGAGTCTACGTTTCAAACACATTCGAATCGTTTGTCGGAAACGTGGTGATGCAAGAAGAAATATGTAAAAAGATGAAACGAAATTCATAGAAGCGATAGAAACAGTTAACTGATCGACGAGAAGTATAATGGATTGTTGATCAAAACTTCTAGTTGCACTCTCGTCAATTGTAGCAATCGTATAAATGGTGAAAATGGCTCGAGGGAGTGTACAAAAGATACTTAGAAGAGTTTGAGTTAACATCATTCTTGTCATTTGTTGTTCCCATGTTGACAGACGAGTTTGATTTGGTTGTTGACGAATGCGAGTCACAAGACGAATATTACAATATGTCAATAGTTCAAACAATATTAGAACAATCAGAGGAAGAAGAACAGTGAGGATTGGAGACAAAACAAGAACTCCTATTTTCATAAAGAGATCATTGGTGAACCAACACATGAATATTGGTGGTACAAGATCACAATAGATGAGAAAAGGAATATTTACAAGTGACCAAAGAATAAATGGAATAATAAAGAGACGACGAGCTACACGAATCGAACTCAATTGGCGTATTTGAGCCGATTGAGATGTACATGCCCAACGATCGAATGCAGACAAACAAAGAAAGCTCATTGCAACAGACACTGTCATTTGAACAAAAAAGACCATTAACTTACAAGCAATCGATGAAGCCGATATTGATATGGATGGAACTATTTGAAAAAGCACGATCAACAAGGCACTCACATCAGCTAAGGATTGTCCTACAACATAGTAGGCCGATGGAGATCGACGAAATGTTTTTACGCCGATGAATAATATTGCATTGAGGCATGCTGCTGGAGCTCCGATTGAAAAAAAAATAATTGGACTCCAAAATTGGATTTGAAGAGCTACTTGAAAAATTGACATCTTTATCTTTTGTAAAATCGAATGAGCACTTGTACAATTCTTCTTCAATTGCAATAAAATTATTCAAATGTACTGACACCAACTAGTTTTGCAATCTCTCTCTCTCTCTGTATATATATATATATATATCCTTTCTATGGCGTCTTCAAATAAAATCCAATTTGAATGCTCGCTAGGAGCACTGAAAAATGTTAAGAACAGCTCGATCATCAAAGTCAAAACACTCATTAGATTCTTTCGAGTAAAAATAGCATTATTATTATCTCGTCATACTTGATTTTCTTTGACAGAAGCCAAACATGTCTTTTCTATGCGCGCTTATAAATCGTATATTACTCAATCAGTCATTTGATATACGTGGTTTGCTCTATCGTTTTGTTGTCCTTGTTTAAAACTATTTTCGGAGATCTACTAAAAATTGAGACAATTCCATTTTCCTTTCCATATTATCTATGAATATTAAATAATGTTTCGTGAAAAATATTGAAGACAAACCAAGTAAATCAAGAATAATTTACTTCAAATGGATTCATTCGATAAATAGAATCTTTTTGACTGAAACTCGCTACAACGAAATGTTTGCCATGAACATCAGTGCTGATGATTTTCCAAAAAAATGCCATTAAATGTCTTGTATTCATTGTTGTCACAATGTTTTCATTAGCGTTTTTACAGTAGTTTTGGTTGAAGAAATAGAAATTTGACATATATTTTTGTTTAATGTAGGCCAACAGTAGATGATGATTGCTTGTCGAACACATTTAATGATGCAAATAAGTCAAGATCTGCTAGAGATTAATGATCTAATAATCTAAAGAAAATGAGACTCTCCAGGAGCCGTCATGGCAGATGAAAATCATCTTACAATGACCATGCATGACATAGAGAGAGGAAATTCTGAGAAAGAAAAAACTCAATTCTAATATATCATTAGTCTTCTATTCATTTCCGTGATTTAATTCTCTCCGAATGTCATTTGACTGATTCAAATTTAATCATTTAAATCGAATTTCCTTATAAAGCCCAGAATTCTTTCAAAAGTCTTTAGAACAAATCATAAAAAGGATATGAATGAAGAACAAAAAGTTTCAAAAAAAAAATGAAACGACACATCGATTATTTGATTAAGTATCTTAATAAAGAGACAGTAATGACTAAGAAATTCTAAAGGTGTCTCTGTCACTATATCACCTATTTGTCTACTTTTGTTCTAATCTAGAAGGAGTATTATGGAGACTATCAGAAGACATATTCCCTTGGAAACTCTCAGACATTTCCTATGACTCCTCTGCAGAATGCAGAAGCTACTTTTCGATCTTTTTTAAATTTTCGTCTTCAAATTTTCACATTGACATATTGGAATCAAATGATTTTTGTGTTTACATGTGGAAATGAAATATCCATGACATCATGGAATCTCAATCCTTCAGAATTCAAGCAAAATTAGTCTAAATGCTGAGAGATTGTGTTATTCTCAAATATTCATTAATTTCTCTTCGGAACTCCACATTCCATTCATGTTACATGTGATGATTCTACAAAAACAGCAAGTCATTTCTTCATCATATTATTCTTTCTTCGAAGTAAGATTTGAATTCTTCCACTATTAATGATAAATATGTAAGAGAGAGCAGAAGAGATGAGGAATTTGAAACAACTATAACGATCTCAAAAATTTAAAAACTTGCCTTGGTTTGAGTTTCTGAATAATTCCATTAATAGATTCTTTGAATTTTCTAACTTCAACAAATGAACACAAGGCTTTTGATTTTATTTGTTGTCGATAGATATTCACAAAAAAAACAGCATTCTCTTTCTACCGAGAAAGTCTATTGGATGAATATATGACGAACATCTTTCGATCATTTGTGAGATGTTTGTTTAGGTACGAAGCGGATACAAAGTTGACGGGTTCGATCAAAATCAATTGTTTTTTTTTGTCATATAACTAATAGTGGTTGAAATGACGCAGGTATTGAGTATGTTTCCTAAGAATACGAGATATCCAGGACGAGCATTACGACAGGCGTAAACGGTCGTAAATGGTCGTATTACAATGTCGTTTGCTACCGTATCCCACATAAGGTTTTCTCATTTGCCCTTTCCCCTTCCCTCCGCTCTCAAAATAACACAAAAACTAATATTTCGAGTGCCCCGACTGGCTGAAGGTCCCAATTCTTTCTTTCTCACGCAGTTTCGATGGTATGTCAAACAAATATCATTGGAGCTGCATCAGAATAAAAGAAATGAAACCTCCAGCCAGGCTGGACACCCACATTAATTAATATTAACACTTATACTTTGATTTGTCGTTCTCATTAATCTGAAAACTAAAAAAAATTATCAAAATAAGAGCTTACTTATTGCTCTATATATCATTATAAATAATCTAAAAATAAAAATAAAATTTATTCAAATAAATTCATACTTACTTTTTGATTCGTCGTTCTCATTAATCTAAAAATAAAAATTATTTAAATAAAAAATTACTTACTGTTTGATATATCATTATAAATAAGCTAAAAATAAAAAGAAACTTCATTTCAACAAATTAATACTTACTATTTTATTTGTCATTCTCATTGATCTAAAAATAAAAAAAGAATTATTTAAGTAAAAAATTACTCAGTATTCCGTATATCATTATAAATAATCTAAAAACAAAAAGAAGTTTTATTTAAACAAATTCATACTTATTGTGCGATTTGTTGTTCTAATTAATCTAAAATAAAAACATAAAATTTATTTAAATAAACTCATACTTACTTTTTGATTTGTCATTAAAAATAATCTATAAATGAAAAATAAAATTTATTTAAATAAAAGATTACTTATTGTTTGATATATCATTAAAAATAATCTAAAAATACAAAGAAATTTATTTAAATAAATTCATATTTACTGTCTAACTTTCCGTTATAGAAAATCTAAAAGTAAGAAATAAAAATCATTTAAATGAATTAATACTTACTCTTCAATTTATTGTTGCGAGTAATCTGAAAATAAGAAATAAAATTCATTTAAATAATTTAATACTCACCCTTCGATTTATCACTGTAAATAATCTAAAAATAAAACTAAAAATTCAAACAAAATTTTTCGAAATTAATAGTTACTGTACCAGTCAGGAGAAGCATATACTTTTTTTATGAAATTATTCAATATAGTTTTTTGGTTGCCATAATTTTTATATATCATATTGCTCTGACTAGTTATATAAAATTTTTAAGATAACCAATACATAAGTCACTATACAAAATCGAGTGTAAAGAAAAAAAGTCAAGATGCATATCCACATTAATATATCTAATAAAAATTGAATCTCGAATGCGATGGATTGAAAAAGTCATCTGTTTAGTCAAATATCTCTATATTATTTTCGATTGATATTAACAATAAATTTACTTCTTATCGTCTATGAAACATGCAAGACACCATTTTTCAGCAAAGAATCCCGAACAAAAATAAAAAAAGAGATTGTCCACACTTTTCCATGACAATAAATATAACAAGAATCTAGTCAGCTCATTGTTAATAATGAGAAAGTATATTGCATAAAGATCATGTAAAATGGAAAATATAAACCAAATAAATAATTTGGAACAAAAAATGACCCATATATAACGCTATCAAGCTATCTCACTATATACGAGAAAAATACACGACCAAAATACGATCGTACACGAGTGTCGTTTACGGCAATGGTATATAATCGTATAACATTGTATACGATGGTGGTATACAACCATTGTATGCGACCATCGTTATTCGTCGTATTTTTTTTGTATATAGTCGTATACGATCGTAGATTTTAAACCTGGGTATGCCTTTCAGATCAATCGCATATGGTCTATATTCGATGATGAGATGAAGCTGCTCGAGATTGGAAACATGGTCGAACATAACCTTGAGTTTCGGCAATGATCAATTAAAATTGATAACATGAATCAATATATGTTTCAGTGAGTGAACAAAAACGAAGTCTGATGAACAACAATTGGCAGGCCTAAGTATCAAGTTAAAATAGACAAGAAATCGATTAAACGTGAGAACAGACTCATAAAAATGTCACTTGCAGATAGGAATCTGTACGACAGACACCGCAATGATTTGGTTCCTATTGTCGAAATCATACTGCAGTAAAGTGTGAAGTTGAGACTGGCACGTGAGTGACTTGTATTTGTTGCTTGTGTGTGATTATCAGGCATAGGTGTGTGTGATATATGCGTTTTGTTGCTAATGTACGATGCGTGTACCAACAGAAACAAATGTACCTAGTACCAACCAAAAACATACTCAGACATTCAGCCACACCCACATCGACGCCCACACAAATCCAGATAACCAATGATTCATACACTGGAACTCATCATTGATTCATCCGTACACAAACAGCAATTCAATGGATCGGATGATTCCTTTTATTGGAAGAAAATCGTGCTCTAAAAAACTTTCATTCCAATAGCCTATCTACTATAAACATATATTCCCGTTGTAGATCCTGCCTAATAAGTATCGGTGGTCGTCAATCGTTAAAGAATCATCCTTAAATACTATCCTACAAATAAAACTGAACACGAACCTGATGGCTTGTACAATATCAGTGAGTATCATACTCGATGGACAACAGCTATATCATAACATTTCAGATCTCTTGTCTACATTTCAACCATTCGAACCATGCAATATTCATTATATCAATCGAGAAACATTAGTGGTAACAGTAAGAATGATCATTAGGCTAGGAAAGCAAGCAAAATATTGCACTACCGATGCAGACTACGATTATCTATCAAATTAAACAGCTCTCATACAAAATAAACTACAAGGAAGGGCAAGTTCATTACAAACCATCCTAGAAATGTTTCATTGACACATTCGTCTATACTTATATTTCTTCAAATCCAATATCTCTACAAACTTATATTCGATCCTTTGAAAACAATTTGAGCATAGACTGACGTTGTTGCTGAAATGACCAACTCTGCCGACTACGGCTT